TAAGTAATGCATTTTGAATTCACAAAAATGTGGTTTGGCAAAGAGGGCATTGCTGGTCCAATAGCAGTCAAGACGGTACAATGGATCAGAAAAACAGCGGCTTGTAAGGTGGTCAATTGGCAAATGAGTAACACCCGTGTCTTTGCAGTGATTGGGCAGGAGAGACGCCATAAAACTATTCCAGAAAATGCCACAGGAAGAGAAAGAACTGACGGGGAAGCTAAACACCTACGCTACTGTATTAGTTCAGGAATCAGCTTCCAGAAATGATCAGATGTGCTCCAACATTAGGCAAAATCAAATCAAGACATAAAACACATCTGTTTAGCTGTGCCTTTACTGAATAAGCACTGTGCTATGCCTGACGGATGGCACTATTACTGTATGTCTTTTCTCTTTTTATTAATTTAAAACCTGTTTTAACACATCGTAATCAGTTTTAAATCATTTTTATTTTTTGTTATTGTTTTTATTTTCTAATACCTGTATCTTATATTTATATGTTCTTGTTTATGTAACGCACTTTGAATCACCATTGAAATACACATATGAAATGTGGCATATAAATAAACTTGCCTTGCCTATCACTAGTAGACAGCGCCCTCTAGTGGATCTGATATCTGCAACGTGCAACGAAATGTATTTCAAATATCACAGCTATTTCTAAAGAGCGTGAGCTGAAAATGTGTCCCAGATTCTCAAGTGAGAGTCACTTCATGAGGCACAAAACGCATGATCTAAATAACACGGTTCAATAGTTTATTGCGAGATAAAGATCTGAGGTTTACAAAGACGTGCTGACGGCTGTAAATACTGATCTCCTTCATTGCCTGATCAAAACGACAGTTCAGAGCCTCTGGGTGTTTGTCTGCTGAACCACATTAAACAGCTGAAAACAAGCCACACCTTGTGTTCACACACACAAACACACTCTCCCTCAGACCGTATGAAATGATGTGTGAATGTCAGATGTCTCAGGCCAACAAAAGAGCTATGAATTGACAAATAAGACACGCTCAAAAGGGCTACTGAATGAAACTCTGTATACCGCATACAGAGGAAAGAGCATAAATGAGATCTGTACTGAAACCAATGTAAAACTGCTGTCTGTGTATGCTGAAACCCAAGCCAATAATGCCTAATTTCATAAAATGTAGTCAAAAAAACAAAAGGTGAAGTCAAATATATATATATATATATATATATATATATATATATATATATATATATGTGTGTGTGTGTGTGTGTGTGTGTGTGTGTGTGTGTATGTATATATATATTACTACACTTACAATTATGTTGAATTATTTATAATTATTATAAGCCAAATTAAAAATGTCAAAAATAATAAATGTTAATGTTTTTTTCAGTTAGTAGTTGCGATGTCAATAATTCTTGTTTGTCTTTGTATTAGAAAACTCTCAAACTGTGCATACTGTAGATCAGAACATGAACGTATCATATTCTTCAAGATCTGTGTATTTAATGAGAAATGCCATTAACCTTCACACATACATTTTTTCAGTATTTCTCTTATGAGAGCACCATTAACGCTGGTTTGGTGTGATTATTCAGCACAGGATATAAAATAATAAATAAAAAGTTTATTGTACTATATAGAATTCACCCTGATGGAGTTTGAGCGGTAATGCAAAGAGGAATGGGTAAAAATCCCCATAGACAGGTGGGCCAAGCTTGAGGCATCATATTCAAAAAGACTTGAGGCTGTAATTGCTGCCAAAAGTGCATCAACAAAGTATTGAGCAAAGGCTTAGAATGCTTGTGTACACGTGAATTTTCAGCATTTTTATTTTTAATAAATTTGCACAATTTCAAAAAATCTTTTCACATTGTCATTATGGGGTATTGTGTGTAGAATTTTGAGGAAATAAATGAATTTAATCCATTTTGGAATAAAGCTGTTACATGAAAACATGTGGAATATGTGAAGCGCTACGAATACTTTCCGGATACACTGTATATTTAAATATATATATATATATATATATACACACACAATACATAATACATTTTCATTCAATATATGAATAGTCATTTTAATGTCACATTTTCTTGTCATTGTTTTTAAACCAAACAAAACCTATAAGCTTTTATTTTGGTGGGTTGCCTGCAAATAAATCAGTTAAACTGCTGCTTTTAGACTGAAGTGTGTGTGTGTGTGTACAGTAAATAAATTGACTAGATTAACAATTAGTGAAGCGTCACAGTTTTGCTCTTGGCTCTGTAACGTTCACAGCCTGTTTGTACTTTCATTTTATGCTTTCATTTGATCAACCTAAACTAGTCATTGTGCATTAATGTTTTCATTTTGGTTGGATGGAAATTCATAATTTTGATAAAACTATTGATTGAAGGGATAGTTTTTATTTTTTCATTTTTGTCATCTATTACTCATCCTCCACATCCTTTTTTGAGCACAACAGAAGATATTTTGAAGAATGTTGAGACAATAATAGCCATTGATTTCCATGGTTGGAACAAAAAAAGTCTGCGTAAGTCAATGTCTGTTTTTCCCCCAACATTTTTTCTCAATGTGTTCAACGGAAGAAAAAAACAACTAATGAAAGTAACTTGTACTAATTAAGTTTGAGTAAACACTGATGAAATTAAATATTTTGGAGTGAACTGTCAGTTTAAGAAGACCTAAAAATTTAAATATAGTTTATATTACACTCACACAAAAGTGATATTACAAACACAAAAACTGTCTACTTCAATGGCTGAAATTATACCTATACTTAAATATTTTTTCTAATCACTTTGTCAGAAAATTATTCAGGCATACCACCTAAAATCCCTATAAACACTAATGCAAAGACGATATAAACTCGTTTAACTTCTCTAATTTATGTCAAATAAAGCCTTTTAGCTAAATTACAAATAAAAATTTATACTTAACAAAACATAAAACAGTTCAAAGTGTCGACACAATATTTCATACATATCATATACAGTTGAAGTCAGAATTATTAGCCCCTCTTTGTTTTTTTTGTTTTTTTTCTTCTTTTTTAAATATTTCCCAAATGATGTTTAACAGAGCAGGGAAATTTTCACAGTATGTCTGATAATATTTTTTTCTTCTGGAGAAAGTCTTTTTGGTTTTATTTCGGCTAAAATAAAAGCAGTTTTAAATTTTTTAAGAACCATTTTTAATATCATATTTATTAGCCCCTTTAAGCTATTTTCCCCCCCTAGTGTCTTCAGAACAAACCATCATTATACAATAACTTAACTAATTACCCTAACTTGTCTAACTAACCTAATTAACCCAGTTAAGCCTTTAAATGTCACTTTAAGCTGTATAGAAGTGTCTTGAAAAAATATCTAGTCAAATATTATTTACTGTCATCATGGCAAAGATAAAATAAATCAGTTATTAGAAATGAGTTATTAAAACTATTATGTTTAGAAATGTGTTAAAAAAATCTGCTCTACGTTAAACAGAAATTGGGTAAAAAATAAACAGGGGGACTAATAATTCTGACTTCAACTGTATAAATATTTGTATAACAACAAAACAATGCCTCTCCTCCTCTGCATTGCTCTATATAAAACTGCTGAATATACAGTGCTCAGTATAATTGAGTACACCCTATTCTGAAAATGAACATTTTGATCTATTTCTCTTTTCGATCTATATAGGCAATGTATTTTGGTGCATCTAAACAAAACAGATTTATTAAACAGATATATTTATTAAAATATTATTTTAGTCACCAAACATATTTAGAAATTAAAGGATAATTCAATTAAATTCAAGCAAAATATTGCAAAAAATAAAATAAAATTATATATATATATATATATATATATATATATATATATATATATATATATATATATATATACACTACCTACAAACTTTCAACTAATTTATTATTTTTTTGCTTCTCTTTGATTTTTCTTTATTTTAAAAATTTATATTTAATATTTTTCATAAATTTGGGTGTATTAGTTTGTTTGGACCGTTATCATAAGTTATTTTGTTAGATAAATTTTAGATTTGGCTTCAGTACTGACTAATTTAATGTATAGGCTCAAATATAACATTGTGTAGCTTCCTATTAAAATTCTTAATGTAAAAGATAGATTTGTGAGGGGTGTACTTACATATGCTGAGCACTGTACAGTATATACAGAATTTAAGACAAGTAGATTATAAGTAGCCAGAAAGAATCTGCGGACATTTTTTGCTATTCCTGCAGAGATTTTAGTAAAAGAAATCTGCGGATTTATGCTGAATTATTTTAGGAGTATCATAACTAAAAACGTAATATATAAAATAAAAATACATATTTTCAACTTTTATTTAACGTTTACAATGCAAATCCATCTAGATCCATTTATTTGGTAAACAAAGCAAGCCTGTCATATAATATAGCTACTAAAACACAGAAGATTTTACTTTGCAAACTGTATTGTAAATAAATCACATGCATCTTTTCATATTAGTCAATAATATTACTGAGATTAATTAATAAAAACAGAATAAATATAAATGTACACCCATTTACTCAAGTAAATAAACAGAATTAATGATGGGCTAAAAATCTGCGGAAAAAGTAATCTAACTAAAAATCTAAGTAAAAGAAATAGTTAGTGAAAGTAACAGTAAAGTAACTTTAAAATTCCAGTCAACTTAAAAAGTATAGTAACTACTTACTTTGTAACTACTTTGTAATTACAGCTAACACTTTTATTAACTATGATCTTAAAGATGCTTTTAATATGATACATGTCCGATTTGTTAGTAGGTACACTACTGTTACACTGAATTACACTGTAGTGGGAGTCATGTATAAATCATGGTAAAAATGTCTGATGGTTAAAATGTTTGCTCAGTGAATATTAATAAAAAGAACACATCCAAATGTACTGTACAAAAAAAGCATGAATCTGTATAACACTTTGCCACAGAAGCTGTAGCTGAAGGCGTAAAGCTTGCAGCACTGGATGGTCAGCATAAGAGATCCCCTTACCTTGATTAAAACTACATCCACAGTTGTCTCTCCTTTGGCGCACAAACTATACCTCCGCTTGTATCGCTCGTACATCTTTCCAACACGCGGAGCCGGGAGAAACTGTGACAGTGAACAAAGCTTACTTCCCACATGAGCTCCTGACAGGCACAAACTCCACGGCTCAAGCCTTTGGAAAAATGAGACGCTGCTAATCTTTCACATCTGTGTGAAGGTCCGGCCCCCTTTCCCTCGCTCTTCCCCCACTGCCCTCTCTCGCTCTCTCTCTCTTTCACACACTCGCATATATGCAAACATGAGTCTCTTTTCCATGCGTCTGCCACAATATTGGCTCTCTCTCACATATTTGCACATGCATCAATGGAGTGCTTTTTAATTTCCCCAGTTAAATTATTTAGTTTAATCAACGGGATAAAGTTAAATATTTTTCACAAGTTTTATATATGCAAACTATATTATTAAGTGAACACCGATGTCTTTACTGTTTTCTTTTTACACTTTGGTTTGAGCAGTCGAACTTTATTTGGTAATGTCATGCCTACTAACAAGAAATCTAAAGCCTAGTTCACACTAGGATGTTAAGCTTGATTTGAGGCCGATTTGGAAGTTAATGAGCTCGCTGACAGATCAAATCTGCGGGTGCTCGGCGCTCGGCTGTCTTTATGTGTGAACTATTGAGCAACGAAACAAAGAGGCTCACTGACGTGTCGCTGACACCTCGCAGACAGAAATCCAATATCTAGCATGCTGAATATTCCAGAGTAGTCGGGCGACTCAACCTCACGTGCGGTCAGATGTAGTGACGACCTGCAGCCAATGAGAGAGCGTATCAGCATAAGCAGTATGGCTGTTTTGCTCAGGAGCTCAACAGAAACGTCTGTGATTGGCCAGAATGGGCATTGATGCATTCACTTCATTCTGTGTTAACACGGACACCAGAGTATGCTATATAAAGAGGGGAACTAGAGTTCTGTAACACTTAGAATTCTGACCGTTCTCATATAAGAGGTCATATTGTCACGTCATGTTTACATTTAAAGCTTCTATTGAGATATTAAAATAAAGCTTTTGAATGTTTGAAAGTAATTTTTTCTGTCTGTTAGTAAACATGTTATAGGAAAAACTTGCTTTGTCCACCATATAAGTTGGTTTTGTAAACATTAAATAAAGGTTAAAAATGCATTATTTTTTATTAGTAACTAAATAGTTTTTAGTTATGATACTCCTAAAATTATTCCACATAAATCCGCAGATTTTTACAAAATTCTCTGCAGAAATAGCAAAAAATGTCCACAGATACTGTCTGTTTGTAATTAAAATAGTGTTAAAATATTTACAAATAAACATACACATATTAAAAAAACAATAAATATTACAATTAAATTAAAATTGTATAAACTGGGGAAGGAAAATGGATAAAACGATACTCAGTAAGGCAACATTTTGTAATCACATTTAGCATCTGAAGTACTAAAATTATGAAAATTAAAATAAGGCAAAGCTTTTGTTACCTGGAATGAAATAAATTTTATATTAAATAAATAAAAAATTACAATTCTTTTTCTCATTTTTATTTAGTTTCACTTAAAAAAAATACCAAATTAAAGCTGAAATTACAATGATTACAAATAAATGTAATAATAATAAAAAATAAACAAATTACTAATTTTTACAAACAAATTACTAAACCTAAAATTACAATAAACATATAAATCATATTAAGATAAAACTTTAAATACACAAATACATATACATGCACACACACGCACGCACGCACGCACGCACGCACACACGCACGCACACACACACACACAGAATTATGGTAATTAGTATTAAAATGACAAAAATGTATTTTTTTCACATAAGTATTATAATTACAAGTACTAAAAACTGATTTCAATTATAAATAAATACTTTACTAATATATTAATAATAATCATATGCAGCATTGGTTGCCATGTCCTCCATATCAATTTCCCATGCTCTTACTCTTTTGTAATATCCCTAAACTAACAAAAGCCAGTTCCTTGATGACATCATTATCCTTCAGGAAGTGACCTCATTTGGGTGGGAAAACAACACTTCTAATCTCAGCGAGAATTGGAAATGGATTTAAAGAGTTGTGGGGCTTATTTCACTATAAAACATTGGCAAAAAACATTGACATTAACAAATACATTCTCTGTGAGCACAGGCTGACTTTAGATCTCTATTTTTATCTTTCTAATTGTCCTGCTACTGTGTAAATAATCAAGCTTAAAATAAAATATCTCAACCCTTTTAGAGAAAATGCCCCCTTATTAGCATTTCAGATAAAACAATAATCATCTATATTTTAAATGTTTTTAAATCATCCTGTCAGGAAAATCCTCTTTGTTTCCTTGTGGCTCATTTGTATTTCCTTTTTCTGAATGGATTGAGTTCAGTACAGGACATGCAGGAAAACCTGTCCGGCGGGATTCACTGATAACTGCCCTCATATCTTCCTACACAACATTTATTATTGTCGTTATGGTTAATCTGAAACACCAAAAAAAAAAAAAAAAAAAAAAAAAAAATATATATATATATATATATATATATATATATATATATATATATATATATATATATATATATATATATATATATATATATAATTTATGTTTGCTTTAGTGTTTTTTGTGTTAGTATAATATTAATTTTATTATACTTCAGCCATTTGCTAAAATCATTTAAATTCACTTTTTCCTAATAAATTTACATACAGCACCCCCACATTGACAAAAAAAAACACAGAATTGTTGACATTTTTGCATATGCAAAGTCTTTTTATTATGCAAAGTCTTTTTATTATGCAAGTCTTTATTTATTCAATAAATCTCTGTAGCTTATCGTACACAATAATATTCCTTTACTTTGAAGTGAAGTACTCTAATTACTTAAACGGTAAACTGGGTTTGGGAAAACTACAATTATAAAATAATTGTATCTTATTTTACTCCTTTGTCAAGGCAAAAAGTTCTCCTTTTTTGGCTAGTTTCTTGACTTACTAAATAAACCAATTTTTTTATCAAATAAATGTAATAAAATGACATGATTCAACAAAATTACTAAATCACTAAATCAAACAATTATGAAAAATAAACAAATTGATAACGAAAGCCAGTGTGGTTGAATTCACTATAATCAACTGGATAAAGAGACATATTTTGAATATTTATACTTTTAATCTGAGCAGTTGTGAGTAATGTCCGTAACTAATAAGAATTTTTTTATATTAAAAAAATGTATAAAATGATATGAATCAAGAAAATAAAAAAAACTTTAAACAATAATGTAACAAATATGAAAACAATAAAATAACTTTTTATTCACTACTCAAGGCAAACCAAAAAATAAATAAATAAATAGCAATGGCGCAGTAGGTAGTGCTGTTGCCTCACAGCAAGAAGGTCGCTGGGTCGCTGGTTTGAACCTAAGCTCAGTTGGCGTTTCTGTGTGGAGTTTGCATGTTCTCCCTGCCTTCGCGTGGGTTTCCTCCGGGTGCTCCGGTTTCCCCCACAGTCCAAAGACATTCGGTACAGGTGAATTGGGTAGGCTAAATTGTCCATAGTGTATGAGTGTGTGAATGTGTGTGGATGTTTCCCAGAGATGGGTTGCGGCTGCATCCACTGCGTAAAAACTTGCTGAATACGTTGGCGGTTCATTACGTTGTGGCGACCCCGGACTAATAAAGGGACTAAGCCGACAAGAAAATGAATGAATTAAATAAATAAATAATAAAATATTAAAATTTAAATAAAATAAAAAAATTATAAAATTACATGAATCAAAATTACTAAACTATAAACAAAAATTTACGATAACAATAAATATACTAATTGATAACGAAAGGCAGTCTTGTTGAATTCACTAATTTAATCAACTTTATAAAGTGAAATATTTTGTTTATTTTGTGTATTTATACTTTGGTCTCAGCAGTTGTCCTTTTTTCTTTTTCTTTTTTTTTTATATTCCCCTGCATAGTTATAAGAAAGCTAAAATAAAACTCTTCCTTTTAGTTAAAAAACAACAACTGAGACCTTAAAATGTATATAAAAAATTTTTATAATAAAAATGTTTAATATTGCTGTACCCAACAAAAACTTGTACGAATAAGACCATTATACTAATCGATAATGAAAGCCAGTCTAGTTGAATTCATTAATAACAGCCTTGATCCTGTGGACACCAGCAATGAAAGCGTTTCAGTTTTTAGCGCGGAAGATATAAACACAATCACAAACACACCCTCAGCGCAGAGGAAACAAGCAGAGCTACACCTACAGCTGATTTCTTCCATCTGCTCATGATCTCAAGAGGTGAAGCCAGCAGAAACTGTGTGCTGCCAGGATAGAGCTGCTTATAATTTGCAGGAAAAGGCCTTCAGTGGTTGTGGTTCAAATAAAAAGGTTGACCCGAGCCCCCCACATTCCCCCAAACAGTTATAAAGGAGCCTGTGAATGAACAGCTGGCCAAGAGTTCACGACATTAAACTGTCAATGTCCAACAGGGGAAGCCTGGTCTGAACAAACTGCACCCATTACTTTACTGTTTACAACTAGTATTATGAAGAGTTTTTCTTGATCCAATCATAAGTGGGCGTCGCTTAAAGAGAGGAAAAAAAAAAATCCTCAGGTCATCAAAGACATAGGTGACTTTTTTTTATAAAAATGCAATATAAAGAAGATTTTTAGCTGAATTAATAGGCTCACACCTTGTTTTAACAACTGTATGTGAGATTTAGATGTGTTGACATTAAGTTGACTCAACTTAGAATTGTAAGGCAACTTGCTGCACAGAATTTTTTTGTTGACACAACTTTTAACTCAACACTCAACAAATGATTTCTGCTGCCTAAAATTGGTTGAAACAAAACAATTTGTCAGTCTTTTTCTGAGACAATTTTATTGTTTTATGACCAATCCACTTAAATTTGTAAAAGAAAAAAAAAATAAGAAAGGTGCCCTACAAAGAAAGGCATAGTAGAATAATAAGAGATCAGTATATGGAAATGGACATACCATAAGCCTCAGACACCACCGTTTTCTCATTCTCATGTAAATTCCAGGAGTGGAAAACCTCAGTGGACAACGGGCCATTCAGATGATAAAAAAAACTGTGACAAGACTCACAGGCCACGACCGCATCATTTGCATGTATGCCTACTTTAGGTCATTCATCCAGACCTGATGAGTAATCACAATTTTAAGAAAACACGGACTCATATGTAGCTCT